TATTGAGATGTAATCCATACTGCAGACTGTATTCTTCAACCTTCATCAGTAGGTGCCTTAAGTCATCCTCAAGTAAGGGATAACAATATAAAAATATATATTTTTAAAATGCACAGCTGAGCTTGCAAGAAACTAAAACTAACTGCTAGGAAGCAAGGGCATAATCAGAATCATAGCAATATTAGTACCAGACAGCATTGACTTTAAGGCAGAGAATATCATTGGGGATATAGAAGGTCATTTGTTGTTGTGAGGTGCCATCCAGTTGTCTTTGATTCATAGCGACCCTGTGCACAGCAGAACAAAACACTGCCCGGTCTTGTGCCAGCCTCATGATTCTTGCTATACCGGAGCCCATCGTTACAGCTATTGTGTCTGTCCATCTTGTTGAGGGCCTTCCCTTTCTTTGTTGACCCTCCACTTTACCAAGCATGGTATCCTCCTCTGGGGAATGGTCCCTTCTGACATTGCTAAGGTAGGTGAGACGAAGTCTGGCCATTCTCACTTCCAAGGAGCATTCTGGCTGCACTTGTTCCAGGACGGATTTGTAAGTCCTTTTAGCAGACCATAGTACTGTTAGCATTCTTCTCCAACACCAGAACTCAAAAGCATCCACTCTTCTTCAGTCTTCCTTATTCGTTGTCCAGCTCTCACATGCATAAGAGGCTGTTGAAAATACCATGGCTTGGGTTAGGTGCACCTTAGTCTTCAAGGAGACATCTTTGCTCTTCAGCATTTGAAAGAGGTCTTTTGCAGCAGATTTGCCCAATGCAATAAGTCGTCTAGTATCTTGACTGCTGCTTCCATTGGTGTTGATTATAGAATCAAGTAACATGAAATCCTTGACAACTTCAATCTTTTCTCCATCTACTGTGAAGCTGTTTATTGGACCAGTTGTGAGGATTTTTTGTTTTGTTTATATTGAGGTGTAATCCATACTGAAGACTGCAGTCTTTAATCTTCATTAGTAAGTGCTTCAAGTCATCCTCACTTCCAGCAAGCAAAGTTGTGTCATCTGCATATCACAGGTTGTTAATGAGACTTTCTCCAATCTTGATACCATGTTCTTATTCATATAATCCAGATTCTCAGATTATTTGCTCACCATAAATGTTGAATAAGTGTGGTGAAAGGATACAACCTCGACACACTCCCTTCTTGATTTTTGAACCATGCAATATCCCCTTGTTCTGTTCGAACAACAGCCTCCTGATCTATGGACAGGTTCTTCATGAGTACAGTCAAGTGTTCTGGAATTCCCATTCTTCTCAGTGCTATGCATAATTTCTTATGAGCCACACGATCAAATGCTTTTCCATAGTCAATAAAACATAAGTAAACATCTGTCTGGTATTTTTTGCTTTCACCTAAGATCCATCTGATACCAGCAATGATATCCCTCGTTCCGCATCCTCTTCTGAATCCACCTTGCATTTCTGGAAGCTCTCTGTCAATATAATGCTGCAACCATTTTTGAATTATCTTTAGTAAGAATTTACTTGCATGTGATATTAATGATATTATTAGATAATTTCCACATTTTGTGGGAACACTTTTCTTTAAAATGGGTACAAATATGGATCTCTTCCATTTGGCCAGGTAGCTCTCTTCCAAATCTCTTAGCATAACCAAGTGAGTGCTTCCAGTGCAGCATCCATTTGGTGAAACATCTCATTGGGTATTCCATCAATTCCTGGAGCCTTGTTCTTCGCCAATTCTTTCTGTGCATCTTTGACTTCTTCCTTCAGTACAATTGGTTCTTGATCATATGCCATCGCCTGTTATGGATGAACATCGACCAGTTCTTTTTGGTACAGTGACTGTGTATTCCGTCCAACTTCTTTTGATGTTTCCTGCATCATTCAATATTTTGCCCATAGAATCTTTCAATATCGCAACTTGAGGCTTAATTTTTTTCTTCAGTTCTTTCAGCTTGAGAAATGCTGAGTGGGTTCTTCCTTTTTGTTTTTCTGACTCCAGGTCTTTGCACATTTCATTATAGTAATTGGCTTTGTCTGCTGGAGCTTCTCTTTGAGATCTTCTGTTCAGCTCTTTTATCTTGTCATTTCATCCATTTGCTTTAGCTACTTTCCATTCAAGGGCAAGTTTCAGAATCTCTTCTGACATCCATTTTGGTCTTTTCTTCCTTTGTTGTCTTTTTAATGGCCTCTTGCTCTCTTCACGGATGATGTTCTTGATGTCATCCCACAATTCCTCTGGTTTTTGGTCGTTGGTGTTCAGTTTATCAAATTTGTTCTTTAAATGGTCTCTAAATTCAGGAGGAATGTATTCAAGGTCATACTTTGGCTCTCGTGGACTTGTTTTAATTGTCTTCAACTTCAACTTGAACTTGCATATGAACAGTTGATGGTGTATTCCATTATCAGCTAGGAGCTTGTTTTGGCTGAAGATAATTGAACTTCTCCATCGCTTCTTGCCGCAAATGTAGTCAGTCTGAATCCTGTGTATTCTGTCTCATGAAGTCCACATGTACAGTCATCAGTTATGTTGTTGAAGAAAGGTATTTGCAATGAGTAAGTTGTTGATCTTGCAAAATTCTATCATGCGATCTCCAGCGTTATTTCTATCACCCAGGCTATATTTTCCAACTACCGGTAACTCTTCTTTGTTTCCAACTTTTGCATTCCAGTCATCGTTGATAATCAACACATTTTGATTGCAGGTTCGGTCCATTTCAGACTGCAGAAGTTGGTAGAAATCTTCAGTTTCCCCATCTTTAGCTTTGGTGGTTGGTACGTAAATTTGAATAATAGTAGTATTAACTGGTCTTCCTTGTAGAGGTATAGATATTATCCTATCACTGACAGCACTGTACTTCAGGACAGATCTTGAAACGCTGTTTGTGATGATGAATGCTGCACCATTCCTCTTCAATTTGTCATTCCCGGTATAGTAGATCATATGATTGTCTGATTCAGAATGGCCAAAACCAGTCCATTTCAGCTCACTAATACCTAGGATATCGATCTTTATGCATTCCATTTCATTTTTGACAATTTCCAGTTTTCCTAGATTCATGCTTCGTACATTCCATGTTTGGATTCATTTTGAGTTGTGCCACATCAGCCAATGGAGGTCTCAAAAGCTTTACTCTATCCATATCATTAAGGTTGTCTCTACTCTGAGGAGTCAGCTCTTCCCCAGTCAAATTTTGAGTGCCTTCCGACCTGATGGGCTCATTTTCTGGTACTGTATCAGGCAATGTTTCAGGGCTATTCATAGTTTTCCAGTAATAGATAGTGTTTCACTGCTACTCATAAGGTTTTCACTGGCCAATTCTTTGATAAGTGGATGGCCTCTTCCTTTCCGAGTCTTTCCTAGTCTGGAAGCTCTGCTGAATCCTGTCCACCATGGGTAACCCTACAGGCATTTGCAACACCAGTGACATAGCCTCTAGCCTCATAGCAACACGTAAGCCACCACAGGATGATAAATTGACAGACAAGTTCGTCTCCCTTAGCTGTTCCAAACTGCTCTACTCACTTCCGGTCCTCCCTTAAAGCCGCTCCAAACCCGATGCCCAGATCCCCTTCCTCGCCCCCCTTAAAGCTGCTTCAAAAGACCCTGGTGCCCGGCTTCCCTTCTTGGCTGCCCCTTAAAGCCGCTTCCAAAAGCCCCCAGCGGCACCCAGCTCCCCTTCCTGGCTGCCCCTTAAAGCCATTTCCAAAAGCCCCGAGTGGCACCTGGCTCCATTCCAGGCTGCCCTTTAAACTGCTTCCAAAAGTCCCTGGTAAATTTTAGCTGTTATTTCTGTAATCACATTT